AAGAGTGTATGATGACACATATGATGAGGGCCAGATAGAAAAAGTAGGAGTCCATGCCTTTCTGATTGGAATGATTATCCCATAATTGTTTTGCTTTTTGTTTGTTTATATTATTTACTTCCAATCACCAAGCATTGGAATATATATATTTCTATTGTGGCTCATTTGGTTTGATTAATATGAGGAAACCCCCACCTTTAAATTGAATATTTCTTGTTCATGTGTTGTGACATTGACATGTTTGGTTGAGAGATGAAGATATTTCACCATGGAATTTGATTATACTTTAAACCAAAAATCTTTACTATATGTTTCAATAGAACTCACTACAAGAAAATGGTGATATTCCAACGGAAATATATTTCAATAAAATTCCACCGGGAATTCCAACGGATATTTTAATGCTATTATTTCCGTTGGAATAATTCCAACGGAAATTACAACAAAAATATTCCGTTGGAATGAGTTTTTCATTGGAATTTTCGTCGAATTTTGACGATTCCAACGGTAGATTTTCCAACGGGGGTAAAAATAAAAATTCCAACGGAAATTGCATATTCTAACGGAAATTCCTACGGTAAAAAATCGTTGGAAATATAGCCGTTGGAATAATCAAATTCCATTTAAAATTCCAATGAAAACACATTCCAACAGAATATTTTCATTGGAATTTCTATTGGAATGATTCCAACGGAAGCTATACCATTGAAATATCCGTTGGAATTTCCATTGAGATATATTACCGTAGGATTTTCTGTTGTAATATAACAATTTTCTGTAGTGACTGGTTAATTACTTAAGTTTTAATATTTTTTAAAGAAACAGACATGTCTTGTTGGGCCATTAATAAAAATGGAGATAATTCATGAGGAATTTGCATCCCTTACTTTAAGTTATGATATATATTACACTTATACACCTATTATAGTATTATTTATAAATTTACCAGAAGATGAATAAAATATTGCACTTCTACCTTAAAAGTAATTAGACCAGATGTAACCGTTACATAACAATTAGCGGGACAAATTAAAAGCAATTGGAATAATTAATTCAAATCAGATATCTTCTTACCAAAAAAGCGGAATAAACCCCTCTCTCTCTTCCATTACTCTCTCTCTCTCATTGCTATCATTACTTGCTCTCTCTCTCTCAAAAACCTCCACCGCCCCACGTTCACCCATCTCAACGCAAAGAAAACCTCCCACCCGAACTTGTTCCTTGACGGCGCGTTTTCAGTTCACGGCGACAAATTTCCAACAACCACATCGAGATCAACAACGTCTCGATCTCCCACCCGGACTTTGTCCCTTGACTGCATGTTTTCGGTTCAAGGCGTTCCCGGTCCGTTCGACGTGGATCGATCCCCGCCGTGCGATTCTTCCGGCAGCCAGGGCGGGTATGGTTCAGATCAGGCGGCACAGTGGACCAGCATCATGAGATCGTTGAGCTCCAGCCGATTTGTCTCTTTCGCAATTGGGCCGAATTCAGTTGTGGATACGATTCTACGGGATAACCGGAATTTAAGCGGTGTTTCTGTTTTCGCCCCTCCCAACACCGGCTTCATTTCTTCCCCGTCCCCCTTTCTAGACAAGATTGTGAAAATTCACATTTTGCCCAAGAGGTTTGGTTATTTGGAGTTGAGTGCCGCCGTGAATTTGAATTTGAGGACCTTGGTTCCTAGCTATTACCTCAAAATGGACAAGTTTTTGACAAATTAACTACGAATGGTGTGGGGGGTTACAGAGCCAAATTGGCTGAGAACCTAACACTTAGACCTGATCCATTTTTTATGTGCTTTTTGGTGGGTTGCGGCTTTGGGGGGACTAGGAGAAACTCTTTGCTTGTTAGTGNGGTGTTAGACTTTTTTTTTTTCCTTTTTTGTCCTTTTGGCAGGTTGATTTGCTGTGTTGTATTTTATTAGTGTGGCTAGTTGAGTTGTATATTTTAGATTGCCAGGATAGGAGTAGTAGTGTTCTTGGGATTTCTTTGCAATTATCTATTTTAGTTTTTTATTCCTTAGGTTTTTGTAAATCCAGTGGGATGGTTAATTCCCTCTGTACATTATTTCTGGTTTTCGAATAAAAAAAAGACTTGATCCATTTTTTGAGTATATGTATAGTATATTTACAATATATGTACAGTATATATTCACGGCAGTATGTTCAGCAATATATGTTGCGTGTATAGGTAGACAATATATATGGTGTCTCTCGGATCTTCAGGTCATTACGGTGAAAAAGTGCGGTGGGAAAAGAGTTCACTTTTCACTTTGAAGATGAAACCACAATAGATGATTCGGAACAAAAGTTTTGACAGTATATGTTGTGTATATAGACAGTATATAGGCAGTATATTCGCAAGAACCACAATAGATGATTCGGAAGGGAAGTTTTGACAGTATATGTTGTGTATATAGACAGTATATAGGCAGTATATTCGCAAGATCCAAATTATCGACAACATATGTTGTGTATATAGGCAGTATATTTTTAGTATATGTTTTTGTAGATAGAATCACATATATGTTTAGTTTATAAAACATGTTAATGCAAGGTCTAGGTTTCCCATGTTCATCACAATTGTCTATTGTGGTTATAGTTAGTATATTTTTTGTATATATATTGCCTTTTTTATGCAAGACGGACACCAAAATATTTTTCCGTATATGTTGTAGTTATAGTTAGTATATTTTTAGTATATATTGCGTATTTTTGTTCATAACATGTAATAATTCGGTTTATACTTAGTTTATAATCTATAACAATTTATATAACATATAAGTATATATATAGAGTTTTCTGTTTTTTATTTTCTTATCTAATATGCAACCACAATATAAATAATTTTATTAATTTTTAATTAGTATTAATAGATAATTTATAATAAAAAATAAAATTATTTTTATTTTTGTATATACAATATAGATGTCAAATTAAACCTCGTCGAAAGATGATTAATTCAATATATTGTATATAAAAAATTGATAACAAACAAAAAAGTTATTAAGTTTTGAAAATTGTTGTTTTTTTTTCTATTTTTTTTGCCCAGCTCCGTTAGGTAGCCACACCGAGGGGGCTAGAAGTTAGTGAAGCAAAACAAGAATTTGAGGCTTGGTTATCTCAATCAGATGGGAATCATAGGAACAACGGCAATACCTTTTTTGCTTGAAAATGGGGGAAGACTTTAGGGAAAGAGCGTTGGTTTATCCAACGGGATTTAAGAATAGGAGTTGCCTAAAAAAATGGAACTGAATCTATTTTATTATGGTAACACATAATCTGGCATTAAAACAAATAATACACACTGATTTGGTAGGATTGCAAATATTTTATTCTTAATTGTAGGTTTGCAATTATATGTTAATCACGCAGTATGTGTGTAAATTTCCCTTAATTCATGTATCCCTATTTTTATTCTTATTTTTTAATATTTTTCCCCCTCTTATGAGAGTTGTGGTCATTATGAAGGAAGTGGTCTCTATGTTTTATTTAGAATTTTTCTTCGCTCAAACGTAGTGCTGTTAAATTAAACGAGTCTGGCTTAACTCGGCTTGAGTTCGAGGCCTTAACGAGTCGAGCTCGAGCTCATTTAAAGCTCATAATTTAGTTAACGAACGAGCTTGGCTCAACTCGATTAGGCTCAAAAAGAAATTATTTATATAATTTTTTAAAATTTGTACTCAATAAAGCTCAAGATCAGCTCATTGAGACTCGAGCTCGAAACCTTAACGAGTTAAGCTTGAGCTCGAGGCATTAACGAGCCGAGCTCGAGCTCGAGCCGTTTACAACCCTGCTCAAAAGTGTGCATATTCCATCTAAGATACTGAGGAAATTATATGTCAATTCTACCTAGAAAACAACAAATTTATTAACTAGATTTATTGTGACACGGGTTAGAAAATATTACAACATAATAGGAACGAATTTTATGGGCTACAATTTGTATTTGAATATAATACAATAATATAATTTTTAAAAATTATTAAAAAATAAAAAAATTGTTTTAATTTTCTTAAGTACAATATTTTTTATTAAGACTCGTCTAATACATTACAAGAAAATGATAAAATTTCAACAGAAAATTCTAACGAAAATATTTTCTAATAGAATTCTAACGGGAATTAATCTAGTAGATATTCTAATGTTATTATTTCCGTTGTAATTTTTCAATGGATTCCAACGAAAATATTCCGTTGGAATGAGTTTTTCATTGTAATTTTTGTTAGATTTGACGATTCCGACGATATATAGATTTTCCAATTATTGTAATATGAGTGCAAATAAAAATGCCTAGGAAAATTTTTATGGTAATAAACAGTTGGAAAAATGGTCGTTGGAATCACTAAATTTCAAGTAATATTTTAATGGAATACTCATTCTAATGAGGCTATGTTTGGTAACCAAATAAGCTAGTTTATAGCTTATTTAGTCTGCTTATAAACTTTGATATAATATTCAAATAACATTCGTTTGGTAGGAGAAAAGCTCGAGCTTATCTCATAATCTTCTTTGGGTAATTTTTCAAATAAGTTCGTTTAAATTTTTATTTCAACTAGTTTATCAACTAACTTTACTAAAGACTTTTATCATATAAGCTAGTTTTTCAACTACAAGTCATAAGTATAAACTATAAGCTATAACTAGTTTTACCAAACATAACATGAATTTTTTCAACGGAAGCTATGTTATTGGACTATTCATTGAAATTTCTATTTGAATATATTATCGTTGAATTTTCCTGGAAATATAACATTTTTTTAGTAATAATTTATAAATCTTTGTGCTACTAATGGTTTATAGTAATTGACCTAATAGGTGAAAAATTAGTAGACTTATACAAATTTAAGATGCACGAAGAATGTAAAAAACAATGCACGTGCTCACAACTGACAAATGTTAAAATCCAGCAAGAACGACAAGTCAAGTAGCATAAAAAGGGAATAATCGTCCTTTTGGCAGCGTAATGCTTAATCCCATCTCACATGTCAATATGATCTTTTACCTCCCTTTGACAATATAAATACGAAAAAAAAAAAAAAAAAAAAAAAAAAAAAAAAAAAAAATTGTATTGATGGTCAAATACTTTTCATGTATTATGTGTAGTTTGAAGATGTCTGGACTACTTTGGTAATTATAGATTTTGTTTGGTAATAAACGTTTTGTGGCATAGAAAATGTCAGAAGGCTTTCTAGATGTAGAAGTCTTTCTAAACAACTTTTATTATATACTATATTATATTTTTTATTCAATTTATTTCTCGTCTCCAACCAATTAAAATTTTACACATCACAAATGATACTACAATTAACACTACCATTAGAGACACAATTTTTAATTTTCTTTCTCCATGTCATACAACACAATTTATATTGGAGATGCTCTTATACAACACCTCTCATTAATCCATTATTTCAATCAATTGGTCAAAATTACTAATTCAATCATTTATTTGCTATCAACTGATGGAACAACTATACAAGCCAATTCAACAATTACATTGAAGGAATTTAATTAGAAGTGTTGTCCAAGGATAAAAATATAAACAGATAAGTTAATTGGAATGAATTAATATTTAATAGTTGGATGTATAGTTCTCCTCACATTGAACGTTAGATGAGACCACTTTAATTGATTCTCTTATATAAAGTTATTAAAGCAATGTTTTGCTTTATTGGAAAATTGATGGAATATTTCAATTCTCACTTTTCATATTCTAAATTGCACCACACATGTTCCCACTTCCCATATGAATTAACAGTCCTACAACTCAACCGCATTACAATGAATTAACAGAACGTTTATACTTAGGACGACCAAATTATTTAAAATAAGTAGAAGTATTAAATTAATAGAGACAGCCAACTGACAAAAGCAGTGAATTTTTTGAAGTGTGAGAGCAATCAGTCGTCTCCTTGTGGACTGACTTTAATTTTCCGGAAAAAGCCCTTTAATCATAATCTAATTATGTTTTCACTTTTGTGTGTTTGTTTAGAATTTTAATTTTGGAGTTTAGCTGTTTAACTTTGGTGAGCACAGAATATTCTTCCCCTACCCAACACTATCGAAAGGCAAAGGCTACAACTTTCAAACTCCAGCTCTTAGTTTACCCTTTACTTTATAATTAAAATTAATTAGTACTGTATTAATATTAGTTTAGTTCCCGAACAAATCAAATAAAATCTCTTTTTTATTAGAAAGTTTCAATGATATTCCATACAGAGCAACAATAAAAAATTTCGTTGTATTATCATTTTTTCTTTTTTAGAATTTCAATTGGAATTAATGATACCAACATTATTGTTACGCTTCATTGATGTACTACAAAATTTAGTTGCAATATGTAATTTTTGTTAGAATTATGTGATAATTCTAATCGTGGTAAAGAAACTAATGAAAATTCTAAGGATAACCTAATTTCAAATGAATAATTAAAAACCATATTAAGAACCTAAATTAATTTAATCTATATTTATCTATATTTATATAAAAAGACATTCTATTTACTAAAAATAGTAGGCAGAAAAGTCAAAGATAATTAATGCTTACTGGAAATAGAATGACATTAATTACAGATTTGTTTTGGTATTTATAGGCTTGACATTAAAGATTTGTTATGGGATAAAAATCAGAACCGATTTTTTTACCTTTGCTGGAAAAGTCAAAGGTAAGTATAGATTTGTTTATATTATCAAATCATAAAAAGATATTAAATCCATATTGTAAAAAATAATAATTCATATAATTTTATAACAATTCTACTACATTATTTAACAGTATTATTTTTTATTATATAATAAAATAATAATTAAATATTATATGGTAAACAACAATAAATAAAATTGTTACTTTCTTATATCAAGGGATAAATTTATATGGTAAAATTTAACTTTTATTAGTATAAATATTTTAGTGAGATAATATATTAATTATTTTACAAGCTAGACCTAACATGCCCATACTTAATGTTTTGGCTAAAATGACAACGCTGGTTGAAAGATGTAGAAAAAACTTATAAATAACCCTATTGTTTT